GGCAGAGAAAAAGGTTCAAACAATGTCAAGCTCCCACAGATGGAGCTACACTTTCATATGAGGGTGAAGTGTGAAGGCTAAACATGCCAAGATTGGAAACAGAGAACCTGACAGCATGGTGCAGGTGCATTCCACATATGCATATCTAAGCAATGAGTGACAAGAAGTCCACTACCAAGTAAAGATGGTAGAAATTTAAACCTTGGTCCTGTTATAGAGATGGGATGCTATCCCGAAGTTGGTCTAGTACAGGGGTGTCAAACTTAATTTCATTGAGGGCTGCATCAGGGTTGTGTTTGATCTTGGGGGCCAGGGTGGACATGGCCAGGTTGGGCATGGCCAGCTTAATATCATTTGTGTTGGCACCTATGTTGGCCCAAGCACTCTGCCAACAAAAACAGGCTCCTAAGCTCCATTTTCAGCTACAATGGCCTCCTGCAACCCTCTGCGATACAGGGTTGCAGGAGGGCATCGCAGCTGAAAGTGGAGCTTGGGAGCCAGTTTTTGCTGGCAGAGGCACTGCGGGCCAGTCCTTCACTATTTCCAGGGCAGCCCCACTCGCCAGATCTAAGCATACCATGGGCTGGATCCGAAATCCAATTATTGGATCCCTGGCATATATAATATACATAGTATCTGTTGTGGCCCCAATTCCTGAGCCTATGCTGTCAGAGGAAGAAGACCTGGAAGATGAGGAGGAGGAACTGGGAATGCCTTCCTCCCCAGGATCTTCCTCCCTGATAATGCCTCGGGTTCCATCAGACAACCGAGAGGACAGCCTAAGATTAATCAGGAGGAAGGCATATCGGAGCAGCCCCTGACAGGGAGTAAAGAGGAAGAGTGTTGGCTCGATCCTAAGCAGCGTCGTAGGGAGAAATGTGAGCAGCAATGTAGGAGGCATGGGAGGGTCAGAGAGTGAGCTGAGTCATTGAGCCACATCCCACAGGGGATAAAAGTGGGTGTGTTTTCTCCTGAAACTTTGTACGGGACAAAGTTTAACCTTACTTCAGATTTTCTTCATGAATGACTATTTTTGTGGACTGCCTTGTGATTTTCTGTGAGTAAAACTTTATCAGTTCGGACTTGGCAGGCAGGACACGTGGGAATGCCAAGAATATTATCAGTTCCAAAGAATTAACTCTGTGAAGTCTGAGCCAGTTTGCCTGCCTGTGTTGGTGTGAGTTCGTACTCTTTCATATTTTGGGAAAGAGGAAAGGCGAGACAGAACATTTTTGTCCCGTACCTAATTTAAACCATCTTTTACCTAAGATGGACCAGCAGCAGCTGTTTCAACAACAGCTGCAAGATGAAAATCAAACTCTACAACAGCAAGTGGCTCAAGTAACAGCCCAACTTGCTTTGCTGCAGGCTCATGCAGCTCCCCCTCCTGCAGCAGCGAATCCACATCTAACAGCCTGGGTATATGCCAAGCCTCACGTAGGCAAAGGAGTTTTCGATACCTGCAAGACCTCACGTAGGCTGGAAGCAGGTATCAGGAACAAAAGGATGCTGCCCACCTTGGGCTACTGGCTGGACTGCAGGCGCGGATTGGTTACTTTGTATCCCTTAAGCACTGTGATTGGGTGCTACAATGTATCCACTGAGACCCCCGACTCTTTTAACATGTAAAGTAGACTGAACTCTCTTTTGTGACGTTTAACAATGTGTGTTCAATAAAAGAGCTTCCCTGAGCGCGTGCTCGGGGCTGCTCATCCAAGACTGAACCGGCTTGGTCTCTTTCTTGATGCATTGGACTCAATGAGAAGCCCTCCTAATGCGGAGCAAAGCCGCACCCTCCCCATCGGAAATGACTGGTGGCTGTGCCAGATAAGTTTTCTGGGCAGCCTGAGATGTTCCTGGCTTTCATGGGACAGTGCCAGTTATTTATGGCTATGAGGCCGGAGGATTTCCTAGATGACCCGGATTGGTTGCTCAAGAACAGCCCATTATTAACTAATTACAAGGGTTTTTGGCAACACATGCACCACATGTATGAAGACCCCATATGAGTGCAGCCAGCAGCCAGGTGTCTTAAGGACCTTCACCAAGGGAGGCGCCCCCTGCAAGAGTTTATTTCTGAATTTTAGCTTTTGTGCCTGGACTCTAACTGGAATGATGCAGCGTTAATGGACACCTTCCAGGATGGCCTGTCAGATGAGCTGCAGGACGAGTTAGTTCGAGTGGAAGCACCCCCGACCCTTGATGCTCTGGTGGTGCAATGCTTGTGCATCAACACATGTCTCCAACAGCTAAAGAACTGTTGCACCATCCAGGAGCAGCCATCTGCATTTGTACCACAGTGCCCTATGCTAACAGCGCCCCGAGTCACCCAATGTGTCGTGGCAATGGCCGAGGAGCCAATGGAGTTAGGAGAGGTCAGACTTTGCTTGACAGCCCAGGAGCAAACGTGGAGATGCCAAGGGGGGTTGTGCTTGTATTGGGGGGGGGGCAGGACATTTTGCTATTTCTTGTCCTCTAAAGCGAAGTGGGGCACTCAAGCCTGTGCCTGAATCTCTGCATGATTAGTCGGGAAATGGGACAGGCCCGACCTGGGGGGAAACCCTAGGCCGGGCATGTATCAAACACCTGCCTGAATTAGCGGAGGTTGACTCTGGGCCCCCTCGGCATCTGATTTTGGACACTTGGGTTTTCTTGGCTAACCAACAAGTTCGGACTTGGCAGGAAAGACATGTGGGAATGCCAAGAATATTATCAGAATTAACTCCGTGAAGTCCGAGCCAGCTTGCCTGCCTGTGTTGGTGTGAGTTTGTACTCTTCCATATTTTGGGAAAGAGGAAAGGTGAGACAGAACAGTATCTATATGTTATCTTCATATCTTCTTCTTTTCATGAAGAGATTTGGGGTCATGAGTTATGCCTGCAACTGAACACAAATTCAGCAGTGCTCTGTCACATGACCAAAGACAACTCCACACCCTAACAGTGGAACACATCTTCCTGTGTGTTTCTTTACTGCTTGTAAGTGTTCGTTTTGTTGAGAGGCTTCCTACTTTTTTCAGTTTCCAATCCAAAGAATAGTACATGAGACAAAAACAGTCCTTAAAATGGAGGTTTTTGTCTCATTTATTAGAAATGTTTCCACTTTCATTTTAATTTGTTTATAAGGAATCGCTGGGGAGGGTACATATTATGTACACTTTGCACTGATTATCAATCATATCTACTTGTCCCATGACACCAATTCATTTTAAGGGGAAAGTCGGCATTTTTCTGAAGTTGTGCTGGTAGGAAGTCTGTTTTTCTTCTGGCTTCACTCTTGGTTTATCATTCCACTCAACTTCTTACTTTGTCCTTTCTCAGGATTAATTTAACTACAGTAAACTAAAAAGTGGGATACAGCGACTTTATCAGTAAAGCAAATCTTAATCCCTTTAATCAGCTTCTAGTTAATTTTACAATTTGTGAAATAAACTGCCCCAACTAATTTGATTATTTATTTATATAAGCCTTTGTTTATTTATATAAGGCTATCAGGACTGGAGTGAATACAGTCTCTGACGAATTGATGTTCCAGAAGACTCTCTTTCTGGATCCCATCAGATGACTCTCCCTGATGGACTGAATTCAGAGCTTGCCTCTGATGCCTGATCTAACAGGATGGGTGAAACGATCCTGTAGATACAACTAATTATAAAGAATGTACTTTATAGTAAACATGATTACATATTTTATGATAAACATGACTATCTATACAAGATATTTGTTAAAGGTGAACTCAGGAGATTTCCTTCAGATTTACATTTGCATGCAGAAATTAGCCTATTAGCACACAATTATAATTGCTCAATTTTTACACTGCTTTTTATACCGCAAGGTTCTCTGTCTGTCTGTCTGTCTGTCTCACTCTCTCTCTCTCTCACACACACACACACACAAACACACACACACACACACACACACACACACACACATACACACTTACCTCTTGTGTGTGAGTATGTATAATAAACTAAACCTAAAAGGATAAGTACATAGAAACTATACACTTACGTTTGCATATACACTAGATATATGCAGTTCAGGGGTGTCAAACTCAAGGCCCACAGTCTGGATATGGCCCACAGGGTGCTTAGATTTGGCCCGTGCGGCCTCCCTGAAAACAGTGAAGGACTGGTCCACGGCGCCTCTGCCAGTGAAAATGGAGCCCTGGAGGACTGTGCATGGGCTTGATTTTTACTGGCAGAGGGCTACAGGAAGCCATCGTGGTCAAAATTGCGTACAGCCTCCCCCCCGCCCCCGGGCTCTGTTTTTGCTGGCAGAGGGCTAGCAAATCAAACTAAAGCAAAACAAAACAAAAGGAGAAAGGTTTCCCTTTTTGTATTTCAGCATCCAAGAAGGGACAGGAAAGGAGAAAGGGAAAGAGGAGAGACAAAGAAAAAGAAGGGAAGATGGAAAAAGTGCATGGAAGGAAGAAGAAGAAAAGCGGGTAAGAAAGAAGAAAGGAGAATGAAGAGAAGAGAAGAGAAGAGAAGAGAAGAGAAGAGAAGAGAAGAGAAGAAAGGAAAGAAGGATCCAGAAAGAAGAAGGATCTCCTCAGCCCTGCCCAGGCTGCCACAGGTGTCCCCAACATGATATCAAGCTGGCCATGCCCACCCTAGCCATGTCCACCCCATCCCCCGAGATCAAACACAACCCTGATGCAGCCCTCAATGAAATCAAGTTTCACACCCTTGATGTAGTTGATTAAGCAGGAAAAATTATATCAGAGACAGCTTGGATTTAAGATAATCCAAGGTGAAATAAATCGGTTCAGAACCTTAAGGAGGCTTTAAGCATTTATTTAGTCAGCCTGATGCATTTCCATAACCCTTGCCAAGCTCTTTTAGTTAAGAAGAAGCTATACTTATACATATATTCTCTTATACCACCCTACATAGCTCAGAATTAGCAATAGCAAATAACAGTGGTCCTCTGGGTTTTAAGACAGTCTTCTCCACTCCAGCTGGAAATGTCCGAGGTCAGACTATGACCATCTGGATGTAAAACACATACTTTACTATTCATCTATGGTGAAGAAGAACAGAAAATGATGGGAAGCAAGGAATGATTTAATTTCTAATCACACTAACTAGTTCACACAGCTACCCTCTCTCTAATCAGTTTTACACTTTTAATGACTGTCATGCTAATTAAGCAGACAACACTACATGTTTCAAAGCCTCAAATAACTCCCCTTCATAATTCTCTGACCATTACACCTTTCATGCTGATTTTTTTTTTACTAGGTAGTTATTCAGAAACACTTCTATAATGTGTGTCAGGCTCTTATAAATTTGTTTTGTGCACAAAATTATTAAAAAGGGCAGCAGAGCATCTTGTTTAGCCTCACATTTTAAACCATCTAGGAAGCCCTCTCAGACCAATTTTTTTTTAATATAGCAGTTTACACCTTAGATTTAGAATCTAAAACTTGAACATTTTGCATTTCAATGAGTGAATAATACAGAGATGGACTTTTCAGATATATCTGTTCCTAACTACAGTGACATCAACACGACAAAGCCTTCATTGTGACATAACAATGCAAGGTTTGGCATTTTGTATCCGTATCATAATGTCACATAATGGAGAGAGTTTGCATCACATTATAATGTACGTTTTGTCATTTGCTCCCTCCTCAAAGGAAGGTTTGTTCTCAGATTTTCCATCTATATGAATAATAGTATCAGATTTACAATAATGTTGCAAGTCAGGATTTTTCAAACAAGGGATGGGAGCTAATCTATTTTTAATTAATGTAATATATGATGCTACATTGACATATTAAACAAGGCATAGAAAATTAAGTGTATGGAGAAAAAAGAAAAATGAATTTTTAGAAATAATAAGAAAAGTAAGACATTTATGGAGCTCCCTTTCTTATCCTCCAGTTCTCAGAGAACAAAGCAACTGCCTGAAAATTCTGGATTTTTTTTTTTATTAAAAGACGCAAGCAGGTAGCAGGGAGAAAAACATATCTTAAAAAGAAAGTAGTAGTGTCTGATCTATCCAGGCTTTTCTGCTAAAGGAAACATTTCAGAGCACCATCCCCAGTTTTAATAAAATGTATGAAAAACCCATTTTTAGCTATCTGAAATTTGCCATGTGACCTTCAGTCCTGCCATAATCAACATCAACTCACCAAGGTACCTGATTATCCAAATGTTTTGGCTTTCCCCAGAGCCAATAAGTTCAGTGAAGCAGCAGGTTATTTTTAAACATGTACAACAGTGGAAGGAAATGCCAAACTGGTTTTAAAAAGCTAATAAACACCCACTCAGGCATCTCTCACCATCATCTTCTCCTCTACTTCACCTCCAGTCTTAACATTGTGCTTTATGCTCCCTGTTGGCAACAACATCTGAATTGTACTCTTATGGCTTTCAGCTAGATTTTAGCAAGAGCCACCTGGATAGTCTAACATGACTTCTCTGGAGATTTCACAAGGGTGGAACCTGCTGGATTTCAAGCCAAGAATAGCTAGGGCCAGCCAGGAATAAAATAAAAATATTTTATTTAATTATATAAAATAAATTACATGTTTGGATGAGACCTTTTGTTACCTCGTTTAAACTAAAGTCATGACATCTGGCCCTCTCAATTTCTGGCAATTAGATGGGGAAGAAATGGAAGTAGTGACAGATTTTATTTTCCTGGGCTCCAAGATGGGATACCACAGATGGGGACTGCAGCCAATAAATTAAAAGATGCTTGCTCCTGGGGAGGAAAGTTAAGGCAAATTTAGGCAGCATACTAAAAAGCAGAGACATTACCCTTCCAACAAAAGTGCATATAGTCAAGGCTATGGTTTTCCCAGTTGCAATGTATAGCTGTGAAAGTTGCACCATAAGACAGGCTGAGAGCCAAAGAATTGAGGCCTTTGAACTTTGATGCTGGAAAAGATTCCTGTGAGTCCCTTAAACTGCAAGGTGATCAAATCAGTCAGTCCTAAAGGAGATCAACCCTGACTGTTCCTTAGAAGGCCAGATCCTGAAGATGAAATTCAAATATTTTGGCCATCTAATGAGAAGGAAGGACTCACTGGAAAAGAGCCTAGTGCTGGAAATGATTGAGGCCAAAAGAAGAAGGGGACGATAGAGAATGAGGTGACTGGATGGAGTAACTGAATGGATTCCAGAAGATGGTAGAGGCTGACAGGAAGGCCTGGAGGAACATTGTCCATGGGGTCATGATGGATTGGACATGACTTCGCAACTAACAACAACAACAAACCCCATTTAAATTTCAAAGCCTGCCCTCCCCCCCACCCCCCATAAGCCTTTTTTTCTTTTGTCCAATTCTTTCTTATTCTCAAGAGAGTCAAAACTTGCAGGTTTTTTAGTAAGGTTTTTCAGGAGTGGCTTGCCATTGCCTCCTTCCTAGGGTTGACTAGCCCAAGGTCATCTAGCTGGCTGTCTACCTAAGGTGGGACTAGAACTCACAATCTCCTGATTTCTAGCCTGATGTCTTAACTACCACACCAAACAAGCTCTTGAGCCCCTGCAATGGGCATGCATTTTTCAAATCTGTGTCAGCTTTGATAGGTTCATTCAATGTCTCGTGCATTAGAAAGATCACAAACTATTTCTTTTCAATGTGTTGAAACTAGGCAGTACCCTGGGCCATCAGCCTTCTTCAAGTTAGCAATGACAGACAGAAAGAACAGAGAAAGAGAGTGAGCAGTCCTTGTCATCTTACAGACAGCAACTAGTCTGGTTTGCATAGCTGAAAAGAAATGGAACTCCTGCTATCTAGTGGTTGTCTGGATGTTTTCAGCTCTGACGTGGCAGGCCTAATCTTATCCCATTTAAGAGCCAGTGCTGATTTAAAAGAGACTGGATTCTCATTATGCAAAGTGAGGATTGTACCTCTGATGGCTGGGAGCAGCTGAAAGCAATAGGAGGCAAGAGAAAGATGTGAGTGTGGAAGGAAGATGCAACTACCAATCAATCTGCCTTCTGTGCATGAAACTTTAGGTGGGAGTGGACTGGCAATCTTGTCCATTTCAGGCAAGATCATATTTTGAATTGGCCTGAGCTCAGTGATACTTGGAAGTTTTATCTGAAAGGATGGGCAGGGGAGGTTTAATGTGATCTTACTTTGGAATAAAAACAATAGATTGTAATTAGCTCTTTTAACTTTAATGGCTATATGGCAGAAGAATATTGAATAGATTTAAAAGCAACACCTTGGATTGTGCTCAAAAAGCAATCGGCAAAAAGTCTCACATCTTTCCTTACATCTTTCTGAATTTAGGGATTAGAGTAAACAAAATCACCCATGCTTGATTATGATGATTACATGTCATCAAGTTGTTGGCGACTCTTAGCAAATAAATAGATAGATTTCTTCATGATGATTTGTCCCTACCCTGGTCCTTCAGTTCTTTCCGTGGCATGCTTATCATTACTACAACTAAGTTGATTCATCTTGAGAGATCTTTATTCTAACTCAGTTTGGGGAAAGGTTTGTAGTAAAGGTACAAAAAATGGATTTATTTTCTTCTGAGGTTTGTTTCTCTTTCACCCAACACCTGATGAGTTTCTCCAATGAGGATTTTTCGAATTGGAATAACCTGATAGATATTGTAGAAAATGTCATAATGAGTGGTTGGCAATATGGCAGGAGGTGATTTCCAATGATTTCTCATTGCTCCCATTAGCAGCTATCAAACAATCCTCTTTTTTAAACCATCCATAGATGCTTCTAAATACACAATTGGTTTCAGACCAGCACAAGATTTGCAAAATGTCACAGAGATAAAGTTTGCCTGAAAGCTGAGCCTGTCATGTTTTTCCTACAACCCATGTGGGTGGTATGAAAGCAATTGCAAAAATAGTCTCAGTGTGAGGTGATGATTATATATATTTATACTTTAATATTAGCATCATATTATATGAATAATGTGATTGTTTCATGGAAACAGAATTTGAACTATTGAGGCATTCAGAAGAAAAAAAAAATCATTTATCTGCAATGTCTTACCGCATAATTTGATTCCTGTCTTTAAAAATATCCAAGATGAGTTCATTCACTCTTTTGTCACTGAACTGAAAAATCAAACAATGATCTGCATATATAAAGCAGTCATCCCAGATCAAACAACTCAGGCTTTTGTACTTTTTTGACATGTTCTCAAATAACAATTTTCAGTAGAGGAGATCCACAGATTTAGCTTCAACACCCCCAGGCTTGATGCCTTAAGTGGCCCGTGGGAGGTTAAACAACTGAACGGGCTATGAAAGGGTCAGAGCTGAGCAGCAGCATTCATTTATATGCTGCTTTTCCATAAAATAATCTTCAAAGGGGCATCAAGCGATGAAACAATGGGAGAAGCAGCAGGAAGAATAAGCAACTGCTGTAAATGTGCAACAGTAATTGCAATTTGTTTCAGCTAGTGGAAGATGGCAAGATACACTTTTCCAATCACAGAATCATGGGGAAAAGTCTAGGGCATTGGTAAAAGCATGTACTGGGAAATTTACATAACCAATGACATTGTGACTATTTAGGTTTAGAAAAAGGTTTCTTGGGAAATTTACATTCTGCACACTAGCTGAAACTGTGTACCATTGCCATGACATCCCATATGTTAAGAAAAGTTGTGAATGAAAACAGATGCAGTGATTTAAAAAAAAACACCAAATGCTATCCCAATAACCAGCTTAATAAAACAAACTGATTTTATTTTGATGTTAGAAACAAAAGTCGATATAGTTCTTAAACACTGACCTGAGTGATCAAAAAAGTGGCTCTCTTGAAAATCAATGAGCATAATTAGAAGACTTGTAAGACAAAAGTGGATAATACTTAGATACGTAATACATTACTGTGGGAAAGTGAGGACTCTATAGCAATAGCAATAGCACTTACACTTATATACCACTTCATAGTGCTTTTAAGCCCACTCTTAGTGGTTTATAGAGCCAGTATATTGCCCCCAACAATCTGGGTCCCCTTTTATTGACCTTAGAAGGATGGAAGGCTGAGTCAACCTTGAGCTATTCAGAATCGAACTCCTGGAGTGAACAGTGAGTTAGCCCTGTAATACTGCGTTCTAACCACTGTGCCACCACGGCACAGATAAGATAAAAGTAGGACCTGGGCTTTCCCCTGTTAAATTCCCAATGTTCAGAGAGTATATATATTTCTTTTTATTATCCATGTAAATCATTTTTGAGAGATCATTTCTACAGCAAAATGGAAGAAATCCTTTGAG